CCATTGGGGCCATTTGAGGAATGAACTGACAGATGGAAGATATTCTCTCTCTCCCTCCCCCCCTCTCTCCCTCCCTCCCTCCCTCCCTCCCTCTGTGTAACTCTGACTTTCAAATAAATAAATCTTTTTTTTTAAAAAAAGAAGCCTATATCTTACATTTGATTAGAATAGTTCAACTTCCAGCTCTTGGTCTACTAACTCCAATTTGTTGTTCATTTGTACCCTGGGAAACAGTGGTGATTGGCTCTTGCCACCATGTGGGAAACCTACATTGTGTTTCTTGTCTCCCAGTTGTGACTCCAGCTAAGTCCTGCACTTATATGGAATCACCTTCTCCCTCCCTCTTTCTCTCTCTCTGTCTCTGTCTCCCATTATCAATTAAATACATAAATGAACTTGGAAAAAAATTATCTAATACTTGTGCAAATTTTAAATATTATTTTATTATTAAAATTTTTATTTTAATTAACACATACACACTAATAAGGTATATTATACTATTTTGGTATACATATATAATGAACAATGATAAAATTAGGATAATTAGTATAGCCATCACCTCAAATATTTCTCCTTTATTTGAGGTAAGAATATTCAAAACCACCTCTTCTAAGTGTGGAACTTTAAAGCAATTAGTGCCTACATCAAGAAATTGAAAGGCACTAAATAAATAATCAAACAAGGCATATCAAAGAAATAGAAAAAAATAACAAAACAAATGCAAAATCCATATGAGGAAAAAAATAATTAAAAGAAAAGAAGTAAACGAAATTGAAACCAAGAAAAGAAATAAAAATCAATGAAAAATAGCTGGATTTTTGAAAAAATAATAAATAAAATTGATACACCATTGGCCCACCTAAAAATAAATAAATAAATAAATAAGAAGAAATAAATTTAAAAAAATCAGATTCAAAAGGAGATGTTACAATGGATAGCACAGAAATAAAAAGAATCATCAGGAATTACTATAAATAGCTATATGCCAATAAATTAGAAAATCTAGAAGAAATGGATAGATTTCTGGACAAATATCATCTACCAAAACTGAGTCATAAAAACAAAGGAAGACTAAATAGACCAATAACCAAGACAGAGATTGAATCAGTAATAAAGACCCTCCCAACAAAGAAAACCTAGGACCAGAAGACTTCACTGCTGAAATCTACAAAACACTTATGGAAGAACAAATTTCAGTTTTTCTCAAACTATCCAAAACTCTTGAAAGGGAGGGAATCCTTCTATGCCCCTTCTTTGAAGGCTGAATCACCTTAACTCCTAATCCAGAGAAAGAACTATACCTCTATAACCCTGATGAAAATAGATGCAAAAGTCCTCAACAAGATACTAGCTAGTCAAGTCCAACACATAAGAAAGATTGTTTAGGGCTGGTTCTGTGGTGTAACGAATGAGTAAAGCCACTGCCTGCCGTGTTGGCATACCATAGGGCACCCGTTAAAGTCCCAGCTCTTCCACTCCAGCTCTCTGCTGTGGCCTGGGAAAGCAGTAGAATATGGCCCAAGTCCCTGGCCCTGTGCACCCATGTGGGAGACATGGAAGAAGCTCCTGGCTCCTGGCTTCAGATCTGGTCTTTTCATATAAGTAAAATTTAACAAGAAATATGAAAAAAGAAAATAAAAAAATTAATACATAGAATCTGTGATAGTCTTTCTTTAATCAGAAAACTGTTAGCTTTTCAATATTTTCTGTTTTGTGGTCAAACCTATTTGGTTAAGAATGTTTTCAAAATAGATGCAAGTGGAAGCCATTGTATTTAATGAAATAAGCCAGTCCCAAAAAGACAGGAATCATATGGTTTCTCTGATCTGCAGCAACTAATAGAGTAGATAATATGTAATATGTTGGAGTGAAATGGGCATTCTGAAATTCAGCACTTGTTTACAGCCATTGTCTTTTCTGAGGCACAGTGGTTTTTTTCTTCATATTATTTGTTGAACTCTTTACTTACTGTAGGGTTAATCTTATGGGTATAAAGTAAACTGAAACTAGATCTTTGAGAAAATTAAGAGTGGAAGTAGGAGAGGGAAGAGAAAGAAGGGTTGGAGTATGGGCAGGAGGGATGGTAGGATGAGAAGTATCACTATGTTCCTGAGTATGTACATATGAAATACATGAAACTTGAATAATTTAAATAAAATTTTTAAAAATAATCATATCTACAAAGCACATTGAATCTATTAAAAATTAATTAAAATTTAAAAATTTTAACAACACGATATAGACATCTCTAACAAGTTTCATTTCTTTGAAGTATGTGCACAGCAGAAGGATTGCTGAATCATACATTATTTCTATTTTTAATTTTTTGAGTGATATACAAATTTACACTCCCATGAACAGTATATAAAATTCCCTTTTCTCTGTATCTTCACCAATACTTACTGCTTGTCTTTTCAATAACAACCATCCTAACAGACATGGTAGGGTTTCTCACTGTGGTTTTGATTTGTATGCCCTGATGATTAGTGACATTAAATACCTTTCATATAAAAACAATAATGTTTGAAGCTGGACCTCTGAATTGGTACTCCTTTCTGTATAATCCAAATAATTGTGAATTAGCAATAATGTTCAACAAAAATGTTAATAAATAACAAGATAACAGTTATGAAAAATATGTGGTGGCTTCATCTTTTTTTAACTTATTTTAAGTATTTGAAAGGCAGAGGGAGAACTTTTTCATTCATTGCTTCACTCCCCAAGTGCTGCAACAGTGTTGGCTGGGCCAGGATGAAGTCAGGAGCCAGAAACTCCACACCAGGTCTCTTATGTGTATGGCAGAAACCCTAATACTTGAGTTATCACCTGCTACCTCCCAAGGTGTGCATTAGCAGTAAGCTTAAAGTGAGGGTATAGTGTAAATGGGACCTAAACCCAGCCACTCTGATGTGGAATGCAAGTGTCCTATAATTGCTATGCCAGGTACACATGAAAGAGTTGGCTTTTTCTAAAAAATAACTCAGGGTATGTTTTGTGTGGATAAATTTCCCAAAGTCTCTCACAGCTATTTGCCCCACATGATGTTCAGGTTGCTGCATATAAAAGCAGTTGAAACATGGTTCTTAACATGTGTCTTCCACTTCCCCAACTCACTTGACACAGAAAATAATGAAGCTTACTTATACTTCAAGGCACAGTTCAAGTATTATTTCCTTTCTTTGGCTTCTTTTGCCTTCTATTTCCCTAGAAGGATCAATTACTCTATTTCCTGGCTTCCTTTAATATTGTAATATTCCACTGTGACACATAACACAAGAATCTGAATTAATGTACTGTCTATCACCACTAATTTTTGAACTTCCAGAAGACAAGATTTATTTTTGTTATCACCACTGGCTACTACAGAACCTAGAACTTAAAATTATATAAGTGAGCGCTTCTTTAAGATTTATTTATTTGAAAGGCAGAGTTACAGAGAGTAAAGGAGAGACAGAGAGAGAGTGAAATATTCCATTTGCTGCTTCACTCTACAAATGGCCACACATGTCAGGTCTGGGCTAGTCTACAGCCAGTAACCATGAACTCCTGTTTGTTCAGGAGCTCATGTAATTGGACCATTTTCTGTTGCCTTCTCAGGCACAGCAACAAGAAGCTGTATCTGAAGTAGAGCAGCTGAGATGTAAAACAGTGTTCCGATATGGGATGCTAGCATTGGCAGTGGCAGTTCAACCTGCTACACAACACTAGTTCCCAGTAAACTATATTGAATTTAATTACAATGAAACAAATATGAAGATACTTCAAGAAATCCATGGAAATGGAATTTAAAGATGAGCTTCTTTTTAAATCAAAATATGTTGAAATCTTTGTCATCAACTCACTAAAGACTATTCATATTAATCACTTTAAAAGATTATATTAATTAAAATAAACTTATCTTTAAATTCTGCATTTCCATGAACTTTTTAAAGTTCCCTCTTAGCCCTTCTACTGTGATAAAGCCTAAGTCTGAATAAGGAAAAATGGACATGAACATTCAATGCAATATCCACAATGAAAGTACTTTATGTATCGATACAATTATTAAAATTCACTAAGACTACTTATGGCAGGCATCATGTATATATGACAGTTGAAGGAATTGAGACTCAAATAACTTGATCAAAGTCAAAACTAGTGAATATTAGAACAAGTGCATTTGAGCCGTCATGTGATTCAAAAGTGAGAGCTCTCATTTCTGTTTTTATTTTTAATGTTAATTCTTAAGAGATTAGAGAATGTAACAAAAAGGAACAGTTTTTATCTTCATTTTGCCAGATCTCAGTGTATAAAATTGACTATAGTCTTCAAATAAAAGTTAAGAATAAAGATATATCCAAATGTTTGTCTTTTGACTTATTTTTACATTGTTACTTTTTGAGCTGTTACATCTGCCATGGTTAGTTAAGCCTGCTGTGAACTTGTATAATCTGAGACTGCTATTACTTTAAATGGTAGTTCTTGGAGCAGAAAGATGGCACTCCCAACTGTGCTAGCTTCAGAGAAGGAAGAGGGGTCCAACCAATTCCTTGACCTGTATCCTCAACCACATATTGTGAATTTGCAATTTGCATACTCTGGGAAGTACGCCTACTAGGGTTTTGATATTTTGTTATTTTTAGGAAAAGAAAGTAAAATGCATTGTGGAACACATTCATAACAATTACACTTGTTTAATGCACAATCCATGCTATTTATCTTGTTTGCCTAAATACTGGCTAGAATATTAATATTTGAATCCATACAATTATATCCTTCTAGATTCCCATTCAGTTAACACAGATATGATATAAAAAATGAGCATAATAGATATTTATTCCCAACCCCTCTTTTGTAAGAAATTGGTGATTAGTAATCATATTGGCCAAGAAAATTTGTTTACATTTGACTATTCTTATTTTTCTTCTTCTAGATCAACTGATACATTCTAGATAATCACAGATGTCATACTATCTGTGTTATGATTGTAGCATTCTAAAACATAAATTCTTGATATTTACCATACTCAAAACTGTTGAGGATTTCTTATTCCAAGAACGTGTAGCTCTTCACACAAGGTTTGTCTTCTTGCCAGAGAATGGTCAACCTATGAATAAAGGAATTGAAAGATAGCAGAAAGGAAAGTGCCTACAGCATCCCTCAACCACTGACAATGGGGACTTGGTAGAGTCTCTGAGCTCAACAGTGAGTCAGCTATGATGTGTGCCCTGAAGTGACTCTCTGAGGTCCCCAGAAGGCCTGAACTTTGCCTTGCCACTGTGTTTACCTTGTCATTTGAGTGTTGGCTTCCTTCCCCTTTCTCACTTCCCTACAGATGATACCTAGAGTATACTTCCACTTAACTTACAGCATCATCCCTGAAATAGAGAAGAAACATTTAAGAAACATTGTTAGTCATGTAATACTATGGAGATATGGTCTTTCCAATACCAAGAAACCACACATATTTCTAGTGCTCTCATTTCTCTAGAATCAGCTTTTACTTATTTCCTCATATATCAGTTCTTCTCCCTAACCTGGGTGTCATGTGACAGGATACATGTTTTTGGCACAATAGACACAGTTAGAACATTTTAAAATCATTGTGGGAAGAAGAGTCCTGTCTCAGTCCAACATGAAAATATCTTCCTTCATATCCTGACCTCTGAACAGTGCCTTTGCATTTCCAAGCACTCCTTTCAAAGTTCCCTTCCATCTGTGGAGTTACTGTTTAATCATATCATATTTCTTTCCCCATATAAAACATTACCACCATTTTTCTTCTGGTACACCAACAGATCGGGAGAGAGAGAGAGGAGAGAGGGCTTTCTTGTATTTAATAAGCATATTCATTTCTTATTGCTATCATAATAAATTATCATGTGAGATGGATGTTTGGTGCAGTGGTTAAGACACAGTTTGGGAGGCCGGTGCTGTGGCTCAATAGGCTAATCCTCCCCTGCGGCGCCGGCACACCGGGTTCTAGTCCTGGTGAGGGCTCCAGATTCTGTCCCGGTTGCCCCTCACCCAGGCCAGCTCTCTGCTATGGCCCTGGAGTGCAGTGGAGGATGGCCCAAGTCCTTGGGCCCTGCGCCTGCATGGGAAACCAGGAGAAGCACGTGGCTCCTGGCTTCAGATAGGTGCAGCTCCGGCCATTGCAGCCAACTAGGGAGTGAACCAGCAGATGGAATACCTCTCTCTCTGCCTCTCCTCTCTCTGTGTAACTCTGACTTTCAAATAAATAAATCTTAAAAAAAAAACCTATTCCTCTATTTTCCAAGCCAACATGATCAAGCTGAGTCCTTCTCTTATCGTCATCCTTCTAATTCTTTATCTCTAGTCTCCCTCTTCACTTATAATGCCTCTTGTGGTTACATTGAACACACCCATCAAGATATCTCTATGACAAATCATCAAAACTAATTTCATCTGTAAATGTCTTTTTCTTACTATGTAATCTAACATATTAACAGTTTCCAGGGGTTAGGTTGTATACATCTTGGGAGAGGGAAGAGCACTATTTTGCCCATCATAATAAGATTTAAAATTGAAACTAATGCTACCAGGCACTATAAGACCATAGTTATCTAGATGCTGTGTATAAGGATGATACTATTACTCTATTCAATCTAGAAATCAAGTCTATCAAAAACACAGAAAACTATAATTATAGGATCATGATAACAACAGTTGCCATCATTGAAAAATTGTGATGTGTTGGGTCCACAATTTATTAGGCAATATTTTGGTAGTTACAGCACAGCTCTCAGAATAAGATTGGCCTGAATTTGAAATTTTACTCTGTACCTCCAAAGTGCATATGACCCTGGACAAGCTGCTTAACCTTTCTGAATCTCAGGGTTTTCTTTAAGAATTCAATTTTTCATCTAAGTTTGTTATTTATTTGAAAGGTAGAATGACAGAAGAGGTCGGACACAGAAACAGAGACCTACCATCTGGTGATTTACTCCCTAAATAGCCACAACAGCCAGGTCTGGTCCAGGCTAAAGTCAGGAGCCTGAAACTCCATCCAGGAATCCCATTTGGTTGATAGGGGCACAAGCACTTGGGCCATCTACCACTGCTTTCCCAAGTACATTAGCATGGAGTTGGCTCAGAAACAGAGCAGCCAGGGCACGAACTGGCGCACTGATACAGGGTGTCAGTGTCAGAAATGGTGGCTCAATCTGCTGAACCACAATGCAGGCCCCTCGGAATCTCATTCTCTCAAGTAACAGGCATACCTTCTTCATAGGTGTGATAAGTTGGTAACTATTATTTCAACAGCTGACACTAGAATGGTACATGGAGGAATGATAGCCAACATATAAGAATACAACAAACTAAAACCTACATCAATTTCAGAGGATACAGGAAAAAAAGATAATTAATTTACCCAACAAAACACTTGGAAACTCAGCCTTGGAAATTGACAAACAAAACTGCAGAGTCAGCAAGAATATGTTGGTTACCAAGGCTTTGAGAGCAGGAGAAAAGGAAGAGCACAGAGAAAGTTTAAAGCAGAGAAATACTCTGTTTGATACTCCCATTGTGAATAGACATCATTAAACATTGGTGCAAACCCATAGACTATACAATGCCAAGAATGAACCCTAGTGTAAACTATGGGCTACAGTTGATAAGGCTGTGTCAACATATATTCATCAATTCATCAATTATACCCAAGGTACTATTCTGTTAGAGAATGTTGATATTGGGAAAGATTATGCATATATAAGGGTAGGAAGGTACATGGGAAGTCTCTGTACTTTCTATTTTTATTTTTTGTATTTAGTAAATATAAATTTCCAAAGTACAGTTTATGGATTACAATGCCCCCCCCCATAATTTTCCTCCCACTCGCACCCCTCCCATCTCCCGCTCCCTCTCCCATTCCATTCACATCAAGATTCAGGTCTCTGTACTTTCCACTCAATCTTGCTGTGAATCTGAGGTTATCCCAAATAATAAGGTCAATTTTTATAAAGGAACTGTCCTAAAATAAAGAAAATATTTTAAAGCTAGTGACATTATAGACAAAATTGAAAAAGTAATAAAAGTATGATAGCAGTTAAAGTTCAGAAACACAAGAGATAGATTAAAATGTAAGTCAGAATTTTTAAGAAAACAGGAAAAAAAGACACAATAACAAAATTAGAGAATTGTGCCCAGTTTTCCAGCATCTAATAAGAGTTCCAGAAACCCAAATATATAGATTGCTAAAGAAATAACGTTAGCATTCCCTGAATTGAATGAAATAATTTTCCAGTAAGAAAGCACACAGAAATGCCCAGAGTAATAAAATTAAAAGCTTTAAAATAAGTAAAAAAAAATCAGAAATTTTACCAAGATAGTAACTTCTAAATGTGAAACAAAAAAAAAAGAAATTTTACAAAGCATTCAAAGAAAATTGTGAAAGCCTATGCGATAACATGCACAACAGACTCTTGGAAAACGATGGGCAGCACATGATCTCAATGCTAGCTATTCAAATACAGTGGAGCATCCCCCCAACTTCTGATGAAAAGTCATCTCAATTTAGTATCCTACACTAGCTTTATCAACTTCAGTGGCGAACAAAAGAATTCAAGGCCAGAGAAAATCATTTTTTGAGGCTACAAAATAGATCACTTAGTTACTTGAAGGAATAGAGACGTAAGCTCAAGATTGGGGTTCCAGTACAAATGCCCAGAATTGTGCTTCAAAAACCACCCTTATGGGAAAATTTATCTTTTATCTCTCAATGAGCTGTGAACTGGAATTCACTGTAACTACTCCTGTCACTTGTACCCATGAAACTCCTTCATCTGAAAGCCACATCCTTCTGAACTTTCACCGGCAGAATTGGTGCACCTTATAATGTTCCAACTACTTGCTTTTGAATGTGGACTGATTTGTCTGATAGGTTCAAGTGACTACTCCACCATAGCTGCAAAGGAAGTTCAGCATTGCATCTTGGAAAGACAGAACTCATAATGTAGAGAATTATAAAAATATAGAGAACATGTTTGAGGAATATTCAGTGAACACTATTCCAATTAAATGATGGATGTATATACTATTCTAGCCAAGCTATCAATCAAATGTGAGGATAGAATAAAATCTGGATAGAACTTGAATTACCAAAGTATGAACTGCAGAAGATTGATAACTTAAGAAATAGAAGTATAGACATAAATAGTTATATATGCCAGAAAATTATAGAAGAAATCTATGAAAGGTTGAAGCTCATATATGAACTAGAAAAGTGGGACTTCAGATTGAAGTAGGATAAGATGTAATGTTTTATTCAAAATACACCCATAAAAGCAAAAAGGAAAATAACTGTCATACACTGAAACCATAGATATCTTATCTTAAACTCACAAGTGATCAGTGTGAATGATCTCTGACAAAGAGACATACAATTAAATAAGAGATGCTATTCTTTAAAACATAGTTGGCAGCAGATAAAGAAAGATCCAGTAGGCTAAGTTAACCGTTAGAAAATTATGTTCTTGAGAATGAATGGAAGTCTTCGCTTTATTTTCCAGATTTGATTGTTCCTGGAACTTGAGCAGCAACACAACACCCAACTGACATTTGATATTATCTGGGGTTTGTATCTAATATTGTATCTGATGGCCCCAAGACAGCGCTGGCACATAACAGGCATTCGGGTTACAGTGGATATGCTACATAGTCTCACAACTCTTTAATGTTAATTTCATTCTTCTCCAGGAGAAAAAGTCTTGGAGACTAGATATTTTCAAGGTCAAGGTCACACTGATTATTTACTTCTCAAAGATTTTCTAAGATCTATTAATACTAATAGAATCATCCAATTTATCAAAATGTAGAGATAGAGCAATACAACACTGTTTAAATTTGAATACTATTTTTAAGCTTTTATTTATTAGAGAGACAAAGAGAGATGAGACAGATCTATCTAGTGTTTCAGTCTCCAAATACTTACATAAGCTAGGCCTGGGTCAGGCCACATCCAGGAACCCAGAATGCAATTCAGGTCTCCCATGTTGGTGGCAAAGATCTAAATACTAAATCATCACTTTCACCTCTATGGATGAGCATTAGCAGGAGGCTGGAACCAGAAGCAGAGCCAGGACTCAAACCCAGGCATTCCAATATGGCTTCCAGCCATTCCGTGTAGCATCTTAACTACTGTGTAAATATCTGCCCCTGGTTGCTGTGTTTAAAGAAGTGTGACACAAAGATAAGGAAATCTGCAAACTTCCTCTTTAAACTCAAATTATGCTTAAACAGATTGAATGGGAAAAACTGAGTAGGAGTGGAAATGATCGTGACAATTTAGAAAAAAATTTAAAATGTCCATATTTCATGTAGGAGAGTTATATTTCCTTAAATGACTTCTTGTTGT